AGGAGGAAGAGGACCCGGCGCCGTTGTGCTCCCGCCCGCCTCGGCGAGGGCCAGGTCCAGCGAGAAGAAGGCCCGCAGCGCGAGCCTGCGCCCCGCCGCGACCACGGCGGCGCTCAGGGCCTCGGGGGGCGCGACGCCTGCGGGGGGGGGGGGGCGCGGCAGGGCACGCGGCGGGCGCGCGCGGAGGCGCGCCGCGCCGTTGTCGGCGCCGGCGGCGGCGTCGTCGTCGGCGTCGTCGCCGTCCTCGTCCTCGTCCTCGGGCGTCGGGCGTCGGGCGTCGGCTTCGTCGGCGCCGTCGTCGCCGTCGTCGTCCGCGTCCTCGTCCTCGTCGTCGCCGCCGCAGGGGGGAGGGCGCCGAGGGACGTGTCGCGCGGCGAGGACGTCGACGTTGGTTTTTCTGGCAGGGATGGACCTGAACGTTGTGTGTTCGTCTTGTTTTCGTCGTGTTCGTCGTTCTGCTCCCCCCTTGCTTTCCTGCACCTCCCTGCCGAGACGAGGAACGAAACACGGCCGAAGTCCAGCAAAAACGCGTTCAGGTCCAGCCCTGGTTTCTGACGCCGCGTGGATCGCCGAGCCTCGAACGATCGCGGCTTCCCAGTAGCACAGATCGGTCGGTATCGGCCGGTTCCAGGCCACCAGCGGCGTTCAACCTGGAACGCCTCTGCTGGGGTCGCCGCCGCGGCGACCCGGCGCGAAACTGCCATAACAGTACTGTGAGCCCTCCCCAGCAGCGCACGTCCGAGTCGAGCACCCAGTACAAGCATCTTATGGTACATCGTTACCGAGGCGGCATCGCCCGAGAACGCCCGCCACCGAGCATGTACTACAGGAGTTCTTAGCGCGCGCGTCGCCCCTGGGGTGCAGACGCGCACGTATTTCTCGAGCAGGGGATCGACTGCAGAAATTCATCCATCGCAGAATTGAAATGCTCCTCGAACCGACGGCTCCTTCGCAGAACCCGCAGAAATTCTACACCTCTGCCGCAGCTTCGACGAGCAGCTCGACCCTGGGGAAAAAAACAGAATGCTGCAGTCGATCCCCTGCCGCAGCTTCGACGAGCAACTCGACCCTGGGAAAAAAATATCCCGGCAAAGCAACCTAACAGCGATGTGTATAAGCATATCTGGAAGCATTCCCCTTAAGATTCAGGTGAGAATCCAGTTGTAGAATTATGTTGTTCTCGCAGTCGCAGCCGCATTCGCAATGACAGTCGCAGTGGCGACGGCCTTAGGATCCAATGGAATCCTAGGGATTCCTAGGGATTCCTAAGGCATCCTTAGGCATCCTTAGGAGTCCATAAGAATCCTTAGGAAGCCTTAGGAATCCTTAGGAATCCTGATTCCTAGGGATTCATAGGGATGCCTAAGGATTCCTAGGGAATCCTAAGGATTCCAAAGGATTCGCCTGCCTCGGCCTCAGCCTCAGCCTGCCTCAGCCTCAGCCTGCCTCAGCCTCAGCCTCAGCCTGTCTCAGCCTCAGACTGCCTCAGCATCAGCCTCAGCCTCAGCCTCAGCCTCAGCCTGCCTCGGCTTGCCCCGGCCTCAGCCTCAGCCTGCCTCGGCCTCAGCCTCAGCCTCAGCCTGCATCAGCCTCAGCCTCAGCCTGCCTCAGCCTCAGCCTGCATCAGCCTCAGCCTCAGCCTGCCTCAGCCGCAGCTTGCCTCGGCCTCAGCCACAGCCTCAGCCTCAGCCTCAGCCTGCCTCAGCTTCAGCCTCAGCCTCAGCCTGTCTCGGCTTGCCTCAGCCTCAGCCTCAGCCTGCCTCGGCCTCAGCCTCAGCCTCAGCCTGCCTCAGCCTCAGCCTCAGCATCTCAGCCTCAGCCTGCATCAGCCTCAGCCTCAGCCTCAGCCTGCCTCAGCCTCAGCCTCAGCCTGCTTCAGCCTCAGCCTGTATCAGCCTCAGCCTCAGCCTGCCTCAACCGCAGCTTGCCTCAGCCTCAGCCACTGCCTCAGCCTCAGCCTCAGCCTGCCTCAGCTTCAGCCTCAGCCTCAGTCTGCCTCGGTTTGCCTCAGCCTCAGCCTCAGCCTGCATCGGCCTCAGCCTCAGCCTCTCAGCCTCAGCCTGCATCAGCCTCAGCCTCAGCCTCAGCCTGCCTCAGCCTCAGTCTCAGCCTGCCTCAGCATCAGCCTGCCTCAGCCTCCAGAGCCTGCCTCGGCCTCAGCCTCAGGCTGCCTCAGCCTCAGCCTCAGCCTCAGCTTCAGCCTCAGCCTGTCTCTGCCTCAGCCTGCCTCAGCTTCAGTCTCAGCCTCAGCCTCAGCCTGCCTCGGCTTGCCTCGGCCTCAGCCTCAGCCTGCCTCAGCCTCAGCCTCAGCCTCAGCCTCAGCCTGTCTCAGCCTCAGACTGCCCCAGCATCAGCCTCAGCCTCAGCCTCAGCCTGCCTCGGCTTGCCTCGGCCTCAGCCTCAGCCTGCCTCGGCCTCAGCCTCAGCCTCAGCCTGTCTCAGCCTCAGCCTCAGCCTGCCTCAGCCTCAGCCTGCCTTCGCCTCAGCCTCAGCCTGCCAGCCTCAGCCTCAGCCTCAGCCTCAGCCTCAGCCTGCCTCAGCCTCAGCCTCAGCCTCAGCCTGCCTCAGCTCAGCCTGCAGCCTCAGCCTCAGCCTGCAGCCTCAGCCTCAGCCTGCAGCCTCAGCCTCAGCCTCAGCCTGCCTCAGCCTCAGCCTCCTCAGCCTCAGCCTCAGCCTCAGCCTCAGCCTCAGCCTGCCTCAGCCTCAGTCTCAGCCTGCCTCAGCCTCAGCCTGCCTCAGCCTCAACTTCAGCCTGCCTCGGCCTCAGCCTGCGTCAGCCTCAGCCTCAGCCTGCCTCAGCCTCAGCCTGCCTCAGCCTCAGCCTCAGCCTCAGCCTGCGGCGTGCCTCAGCCTCAGCCTCAGCCTGCCTCGGCTTCAGCCTGCCTCGGCCTCAGCCTGCCTCAGCTCGGGCTTTCAAAATATGGCACAGGACTGGTGTTCTGGGAACACGAAGATCACGAAGTGGCCCACAGTTGGCTCGGGGCAATCAAAATATGGTACAGGAATGGTGTTCCGGGAGCACGAAGAACACGAAGTGGCCTACAGCTGGCTCCGGGCATTCAAAGTGTGGCCTGGGAATGGTGTTCTGGGAACACGAAGAACACGAAGTGACCTACAGTTGGCTCCGGGCATTCAAAATGTGGCCTGGGAATGGTGTTCTGGGAAGACGAAGAACACGAAGTGGCCTCAGTTGGCTCCAGGCATTCAAAATGTGGCCTGGGAATGGTGTTCTGGGAAGACGAAGAACACGAAGTGGCCTACCGTTGGCTCCGGGAATTCAAAATGTAGCCTGGGAATGGTATTCTGGGAATGGATTCCTAAGGATTCCTGAGAATTCCTAAGGATTCCTGGGGCTGCACTTGTGTCCGGTTCCTTGTCCGGATCCCGCCCTGACCCCCCTGGGGCGTCAAGATGCTTTCTTTGATCCCACTAGAAACCTATCAGCAAAAGCTGTTCGGTAACAAAACGCTGCAGTCGATCCCCTGCTCGAGGTACAACATCTGTGTGCTGGGTGTTGGCTGGCCATCGCTCGGACGTCCCTTCCCCGTGCTTTCGTGTTTCGGTTCCGTGCGCGGCTTTTCTTCGCAGGATGACCCAGGATGCTCCTTGATAATCCCCGCCGAGAGGAGGAGGAGGAGGAGGAGGAGGAGGAGGAGGAGGAGGAGGAGGGGGAGGAACAAGAGGACAAGGGGGAGGAGGAGGAGGAAGAGGAGGAGGAGGAGGAGGTGGATTAGGATGAGGAGGAGGAGGAAGAGGTGGAGAAAGAGGAGGGGGAGGAGGAGGATCATGAGGAGGAATAGGAGGCGGAGGAGGAGAAGGGGAAGGAGGAGGAGGAGGAAGAGGAGGAGGAGGAGGCGCTGCCGAGCCTGTGCTGACGGGCGCCGACGGGGAGGACCAGAGGCGCGCTGAGGGCGCGTCGTCGGCGCCCTGCGCGCGGAGGCGGAGGCACACCCGCTGCAGCAGCGCCAGCGCCAGCGGCTCGCTCCAGAAGCGCTGCACGTCCAGGAGCTCGGCGCGCCAGCGCGGGGCCGTGCCCACGACGTCCGCCGCCTCCTCCAGATACAATCATAGCAGAATCACCCTAGCATAATCACCCAAAAAACAAAGCAACAAAAAAATATTGCATACTCACCCTAGCATAATCACCCTAGCATAATCACCCTAGTTTCCTCCTCCAAAGAACATCCACCCTGGCATGATCGCCACCCCGACACGCGAAGTCGTGTAGGGAGCGCGCCCGGGAAAGAAGGATTCGAGCAGGGCAATGCTGTTCAGTTCAACGCCCAGGGCCGTTCAGGAAACGCCGATTGTCCGGTCCGGGTGGTTGTTCCTCCCGGGATCCTCCGTGTCCAGGGCCGCGACCCCCAACGGCCTGCACCACACGCCCTGGTTCGTGCGCATCTCGGCGTCGGCGTCCGGCCCGACCGCCAGTGCGTACTGCAGGGTGTAGCTCATGCCCTCCTCCTCGTCGGGGTACTCCACGAGAGCGAAGGCTCCCTCGGCAGCCTGCGCGGCCTCATCCTCGCCGGCCCTGGTGTCTGCCACGAGGCACGGGGCAGGCGGGTCTAGCATGGTCTCTGCTTGATCCAGCGCCACGGGTGCTGACTCGAGCCGTCCCGCCCAGACCCTGCCGCCCACCTGCGGGTATCTGGCCTGCACGGCGAAGACGTACGTCTTCAGCGGGATCAAGCCCGTGATGTCGTGTTCGACAACGCCCCCACGGTACCTGTGGGTGTCCCAAGGAGGCTCGGTCACCATACCATATGGTGAGTCGGGGTGATTCTGGGTGAACGAACGGGGCCTTGGTCGTTCTGCGAGGATGTCTCGAGCGCATGGGGTCTGCCAGGTCCTGAAAACGTCACGGAACCGTCCAGAGAGCGTCTGGTGAGTCCTCCGGGATCTCGAAGTCATCGGACGAGTCATCACCAGAGCGACCCCTGAGCACCTGTGCTGGAAGGACGTCGCCACCACGGAGGGGCCGCCGATGCCGCCCTCGGGCTCCTGGAGCACGGCCAGCAGCTCGTACTCCAAGAGCACCAGCCCTGGAGCTGGCCTGAAGTCGCCCCACCGCACGCGCGCCGAGCTCGAGGAGGTGACCTCAGCCATCACCTGCGGCTGCGCTCCAGCCCGCGAGGCGACCGGCGGCACGGGCGGCGGCACTCGCCAGCTGAAGGCGACCGAGGTCGGCGACCACGCGGACCAGCGGCGGCCGTCGCCAAGGCGGGCCTGGAACAGGTAGACGCCCCCCTGCGCTGGCCCAGCGTCGCTGCCCAGCTCGAGGGTGCAGCGGCTCCCATCGAGGTTCTCCGAGCTGATCGGCACGACGGGCGAGAGCTGCCACCCCTTGCTGGCAGCCTGGCCCTCGATCTGCTTGCGCAGGGCGGGCTCCAGGGCGGCATGGATGGATCGGGCCGGGCGAAAAGGGGGGGATAGCACAGGGGGGGCTTGAGACTCAGCTCACGTGGCTGATTTCCCCGGCGCCTCCAGGCGCCGGAGGCGGCCATGTATCGAGGAACGGGCCCCTCGGTGGGGCCGAAACCAGCTGCATGCAGCAGAGTTCGTACCCCCCCTTTCCCAATCCCCCCCTTTCGTCCGGCCCGAATGGAGTAGCGGAGCTGAACCATGGTGACCATGCGGTGGCCATACCCGACGGGCACCGCCCCCAGCTCGGCATCCTCCTGCCACGACTCGAGCGGCGGCAGGGGCACCGCGTCGCTCTTCCGCAGCTCCTGCATGTCCCCGTCGTGCTCCTGTGAAGGGGCCCTGGGACACACAAAAAATAGACACAAGTAACAGGATTCCCTACATTTTTCCATATTTTTCCTGGGTTTCTGTCTCCCCCCCACTTCCCATAGTTTCCCATGTTTTCCTGGGGAACGACGATGAATTGTGTCTGTGTATGTCTTGTCCCTCCTGATCCTGGTCGCTGTCGGGGTCGTCCTCGTCGAGGGCCTCGAGGCTCTGGCACAGGGGCACGGGCGGAGTCGGCGGCAGAGCCTGACTACCTACCAGACCACCCCAACCCAACCCGAAGACCCGAATTTCGGGTTGGGGGAGGGTAAGGGTTCCACATGTGTTCTTTCGACGTTTCCCGACCCCACCCCCGCTGGAAATCGAGGGTAGACCTGAGCCTTCGGGTTGGGCTGGGGTGGTTTGGTGGGTGGTGAGAGCCCCCTTGAACAGGTCGACTGCCACGCTCACGCACCAGCGGTCGTCCGTGATCACGTGGCGCAGGCGCGGCCTGCGGTGCGGCGGCGCGATGCACACGGCCACGGGCTCGGAGATGCCGCCGGCCCAGCGGCACGGGTGCGCCGCGGAGCGCGCCAGGGCGCGCAGCCGAAACTCGACGACGTCGGGCAGGGGAGGCTGCGAGCCAAAGGGGGGCAGCGTCACCCTCACCTTGCGTCAGGTCGGGCACGTCCTCCTGCAAGCGGCTTTTCGGCGGAGACATGACAAAGAGCCCAGACGTGTTCAAAAACAGTCAAGGCCGGCAGGAAAATCGTCCCCGTGCTGTTTTTGCTTGACCATGCTTGACGATTCCCCCTGCAGAGGGCCGTGCCCGACTGAGACCTTGTGGCCGCCCTCGCCCGCGCAGCCCTGGACCTCCGCGGAGGGCACCAGGTGCCACGGCCCCCCGTCGGCCTGCCAGCTGCCCCCGAAGAGCGAGCGCTCCGCGCCGCCCAGCGCGTCGAAGTGCGCCGCCTGGAGGCCCGCCGCGTGGTACTCCTGGGGGAAGGCCGGGAGGTGCTGATACCGAAGGGGCACCCTGCAGGCTCCTTCACGCAGAAGTGCGGGGTGTACCCCCTTTGGGAGCGGCCAAGAGGGGGGCCCAAGAGGGGGGGTGCAAATCATGACCGGCGGCACGTGCGCGGCCCAGCGGGGGGGCCAAGGACGTAACGAAATAAGAACAGGCGCCTTGAAATCTGGGAAATATCATGGCCCACGCCATGATATCCATCCCCCCCTAGTCATCACCCCCCTATTTGCCGCCCCCGACCCCAAGACCGAGGCCGACCCCTCCAGGGCTGCGGAGGCTGGGGGGGTCCCCAGCTCTTCTTCTGGAGACAGCCTATCCTTCTTGGGGAAGCCGAGAGATACCGATGCCGCCGCCACACCCCGGACCTCTCCCGGGGCGCGTTCTGGCCAGGATTTCGAGGCGAACCCAACGATGGCGACGAGGGCCTCCCAAGAGGCCCAAAAAGGGGAGAAGGAGAAAAGGGTAGCGGTACAGGGTACCTGTTCCGCCTCTGGCTCTCTCCCTTCCCCGCTCTCGCGCACGCCATACTTCGCAAAACGTCCAGAAACGAACCCCCCGACTGGGGGTCACCGTAAGGGCCCGACCACAAGAAGCGTTCCACAAGAAACCCAACCCTGAGACCCCAGAACGTCCACTGGATGTTTGGCGTGGCAACGTCACGCTCGCCACAGCAAAGAGCCATCGAAACCCAGAAACCTAGGGCAGCCTGGAGACCAGCAGGGTGTTTCTTGGCATGGGCCTCCACTGCATCGGAATGTGCCTGGGCTCAGGTCGGGCATGTCCCCCTGCAGGCGGACTTCGCTGGGAAATTGAAAATATCCCAACAAGACTCAAGAATAGCCAAAAATAGTCACACAAACAAAAAACAAAAACAACAACAAGAAACAAAAATCGTCCCTGACTGTTGTTTAAACTATGTTGGCAAATTCCTCCTGCAAAAGGACAAGCCCGAATTAAAGCCTGGGCTCGCCCTGCGGCGTGCGCATGGCCCCTGCCGCGCTGCGACGGCAGAAGCGCCTGGGCCCTCGCGCATGCGACAGAACTCCTCCTCCTCCTCCTCCTCCTCCTCCTCCTCCTCCTCTTCCTCCTCCTTTTCCTCCTCCTTCTCCTCCTCCTCCTCCTCCTCCTCCTCCTCCTCCTCCTCCATACATACACACACGACCTGCAGCGAGAGACACCAAACAGAGTTCGGAGCTCACTAACGCCCGCACAGCAGACCTGGCGGGCGAGCGGTACGGAAACCCGCACCAGAAAAAGGGATAATATTATGGGAAAACCACATCATGCCCAAGCAGGAAAAACGGGGTGATCCCGAATTCAACCCTCCAGGTCCGAGAAATCCGCACTCCCTTGGGGCATGGGAGTTTGCAGGCTCGGAGCTGGCAAATCTGTTTAGGCTTGATGTGGGTGCAACTGTCAGCCAGATGGACCGCTCTCCCCGTGGAGTACGATCCGCACTTCAGACAGAGAATAACGGGAGCACCTGAAGCCTCGATCTTCGCCGCCCACAAGGTGTGGGGCGGCGTCGGTCGGCTGTTACTCGCAAGCAGCTGGAAGAGCGATCTGGGCAAAGGCACGCACAGGCTGCGATGGCAGACCCACCGAAAGGCAGTGGATCTGCCGCACTGGATGCACTGCCATCTGTTTAGTGTCCACCTGAAATCATGGAACACTCGCCTCGAAGCCTTTGGGGACGGGACTTTAGGCTTCCTCGCAAGGTCACCAAACACATCCCTGGCTTTGCCCCAAGACCCAAAGACACAAGTAAAAGCTTCAAACACATCGCGCCATTTCTTATAGGCTGCTTCAACACGATCCACGCCCGAGGGACCAAGTTGACCCTTGGCACCTTCTTTCGCAAGGGCATCGGCCCAACCATTGGCAAGAACCGCCAAGTGCTCATCCCGACGTCTCTCCCCCTAGCGACGCTTTGGTGGGCCTTGATTTAATGTATCTTCCATCCTACAAAGCTGGCAGTTGATTTATCTGGCGCCAATGTCCAGCCTGCTGTCCTCGTCCGTCTCTGGCTCGGATTGGGACTGCAGCTCCGTGCACGACCGCTCCGCAGGTCTGGGAGATCTGAAAATCCTGCCCCTGCAGGTCGGCATTACTCGGAACGCATCCTAGAAGAACCCCTCGGGCGGCCCTCTCCAGGCCCCCGGGTTCATCGACTTCAACCGCGCACCACCCCCCTCGGGCCAGAAGGGGGGCGGCGGGGGGCACAACCGAACCATCAACTGAAATTTCCGCCCCTTGATCTTTGAACACAAAAGGCTCAATAATTACCCCTCTGTCGAGGTATTCCAAAACCTCGGTTCGCGGGGGTGGGTTGTTGATCTCTGGCATATCCATCAACGAGCAGTTGAAAAGGGGGCCCTGCGGGCCCGCATCCAGGGCCTCTTGCATCATGGCTGGGCCCAGCTCCTGGCGACGAGAACCCCGGACGGACAAACCCACACTCTGTGGAAGGTGATGTCTATGGCATCACACTGGGGGCATTTTGGAGCGACCTGGCACCCTCTCTTGTGCAGAAGGGGGCAGTAGGGCACGCGAGATCTGCTCGCCCTGCAAACGAGGCTTGGACGAGTTCCAAGCTCGACAGGCAGGATGGGCCCAAAGCCCACTTGTGCGGATGCGACTGGCTCTGGCCCCTCCAATCCCTTGGAGTTTCTCCTCGATCACGAAGTCAACCCCGAGGTTGACCACATGCCCCGAGACAGCGTTTCCATATTCACCCAGGGCCTGGGGGGCTAGCTTGGCCACGTCGTGGGAGTTGGTCGTGAACTGCATTGTCTGAAGAGCAATGGGGCGCTCCAATTTGCTGGTGAGCAGGTCGAACGCCTGCCCCGCGAGACTGACAAGGCTGTTCAGGCAGGACTCCACGGTCGGCATGGCCACCGACGTCGTGACATCGTCAATATGGACGGTGAGGTCCTCGTCTTGGTCTAGGCTGATCTCTGCGGTGCTCGGCGCCATGCAGGCTCTAATTTCGCACGTGGCAGTAGATGGCCCCGCCACACTGCCTCTCTTTGGGTGAAGGGGTTCGCGCAGTGCCGAACCCATCAAAAGGCGACGAGGCCAACGGTTACTGGAGATCGCGAATCTCACAGGAAAAAGAAAAACGGGAAATGGGCATTCTCCCCTTCGGCCCACAGGGCGCCGTGGGAGACGCGCTCGTAACGTTGTTTCAAATCGGCCAGGGGGACTCCAACAAACTTACCCTGGTTAAGATGGAGATCATTGCGCACAGCTCGCCTCCACACAGCATCAGCGGTCGACCTATGGGGGGCCACGTTGAAAACATTGCTGGCGCCCCAGGCTGACTCCCATCTGCGGCAGGCGTTCGACGGGCCTTTAGAATAAACTCGAGTGGCTGATTGGAAGAAGCCTGTCGGTCGTCTGCCCACCCTAGGCTTTCTCCGTGCAAAGCCACAATCAGCTGTCGAGAAATGGCCGGTGCATTCCCGAGGCTGTTCATCGCCGTGAAAATCACCGAGAGAACGCTGAGCCCAGAATCACAGAGTTCTGAAAAGCGGCGGGCATGGAAGCCATCAGTGGCAATTGCCACAGCCTCGAAGCTCCGCGACAGGTTTCTGACGCCTTCAACGTCGGGGCCCGCCGGCGCCCGCAAGTCCACATCCCCCTGCAAATGCAACCCCTGCCGCCGGCCGACGCCCGACGCCGACTTCCACGCGCTCATGCGTTTACCGAACCTGCACAAGAACGAGGCGGAGGGGGTTCCGTCTGGAAGCTCCACGGCATCTTCTTTGAAGTCTGAGGCAATCTTAGCGCACCGGTGGGCCCTCGAAGGTCTCCCCGCCAAAGCTTCTTGACACCGCGCGTTCCACTTCTCCCGCTGGCGCTCGCGCCCCTCGGCAAGGAGGGTGAGTTCGAGCTCCCCAAGACTGGCGACAGTGATGTCCAAGCTGTCAAAAGGGAGCTCATTCGGGCTCAGATCCGCAAGCCTGGGAAGGAGGGGCGCCAGAGCAAAGTCGATGCAGACAGTAGCAAATCCTCCTCCTTCCGGCCAGAAGTGCTTGAATGGCCCTCCTTCCCAGCGAACCCCCCTCGTGTGACTGGTCAGCTTGCCGGCCGCAAGCGCGCAGCGCCTGTCCGAATTCTGAAGGAGGCCCTTCATAGCTTCGAGGCGTCCGAGAAACCGGCCCGCACGTCTGCCCTCCGAGATTCGGGGGCGCTGCTTGGCAATCAACAGACGACCGCGATCAACCGTTTCAATCTCGCACGGGAAGCCCCCATCGGCGCCCTTGGGCCCCTTCGCAGCGGTAGACCTCTCAGAGTTCTTCCCGGGCCTCACTGCACCACCTGTCGCGCACCTCATTGAGGGCCTGCTCGAGGCCTTTCTTTTCAACGGGAGTGGAGGCGCGGTGGGCGGGGCCGCGGCTCCTGGGCTGAATTCCATCTTGTACGTCGCAATATTTAAAAGTTCCCAGGGCCCGTTGCATCTCGGACGCCATCTCGAAATAGTCTAGCGGCAGGCGGCATGGCCCAACTGTTCTGAGCACTGGCGCTTGAACAGGCGCTTGCGCAGGCGCTTGAACTGCACAAAGACCGGCTCTGCTTTCATATGGAGGTCCACCAGCGCGGAGAAGTCCCCGGCCACCGAAAGGCCGGCTTTTGCCAAAGTCCTGCTCGCGACGAAGTAGCCCAGGGCACGCTGCGCATCGTCGACGTGGCACGGCGGCACCGCCGGGTCGAAAAGTAAATCTGCTCCGAAGCGGCCTGGCCCCAGACCGACTTGGAATTTGCCTGGCGTGCGATTGAAACCGCCACACGCAATGAAGGGTAATTCGCGCGTGAGCACATCGTTCCTAGCTGCCTGCACAGCCTCGCACTCTCGGCGCCCAGCCCAACGCTGGTCACCCAGCAACACGAGTAGACGCTGAACGCCCCCAGGGCCCCGTGGCGACAGTTGGCGTGGAGGATCCTGCCCTGCGAGACAGCGCCTTGC